TAAGGAGGCACTAAACCATACCTTTAAAAAATGTAAATAACTCTTTCACAACGAAACTACCAAAAGACAACTAATAAGAAATCATCCGGACATTTATAGACTTATTTTCTTATAAAAAGATAGCACATTCATAACCAAATTGTTCGAAATAAAGTTAATAACCTTACATAAAAATGATTCCGACCTTGACTTCTCGCGTCATTGGCTTCGAAGAAGGAGAAAGAGGAGGAGTAAGAGTCGAAAAAAGGTTATTTCGCGCTGTTTCACCCATTTTTGCTCCCCTTTTTACCTCCTTTTTATTACAGACAATCCATGAATATCTTGCGCCAGGTGCACACGTTCTTCCGAGCTGGTGTGAGTATCTTGGAAAGAAATTATCGTGATCAGAATGTTTACCGAAGTCTTGCCAAATATTCCAGATTATTTCTTATTTCTTTAAGTTGTGAATTGGATTTGTGAGTTTCTTATGCAATTGCTCACATGGGAATGCACCAGGAGTCCCAAAGATAGATGGTACCTAGCTAGCAAGTGCAGTTAGAAGATACGTAAGACGGAAACTGATTACACAAGCAACTGCAAATATATTTAGAAAGTGAGCCATTTTATTTATATTTCACTCTGTTCTCAACTCTCCTTGCACACAGATGTGAGTAAAGACGTCCACAACAGACTGGAAACAATGCTAGTAGTAAAAGAATCTGCAAATAATTTAAACTTGCTCCAATACCAGGGATGCTGAGTTATGGAAGGGTGTTATGTAGGAGTGAAAATATGAATAGAAATGATAATCATTTATATAATGCTCCGTTTATGCACCAAAAGGAATGATACTATTATTAGCCGTATATTGTACTTACATGATGAGTAATTGTTATTATATCCAAATATTCTTATGATTTTCCTCTTAACTTGATAAAAAAAAGAATTATCATAGATATGAGTGGTCTTATCTCAATGTTTGTGGTATATTTAGATTCTACAAGCTTAAGACTTACCCATTTGGTATCTCTGCTCCGTGAAGGTAGTCATGTAGGGTAGAGAAAGATTATTTTTATTGTTTATTTATTTGCTTATTTAAGTTTTGATGCCTATAATGGTTTTGTCTTAGTATTATTTTTTATATTATGCAGACAGCTCCATAAATGCTCGGTTGCCAAGGAGACAATTTTTAGGTGTAACTAGGCTAACCATATTCCTTGAGTTTTTGGTGAAAAGAATGTTTATTTCTGTTACAGTTAAGGGGACCGTCCCTGAGAGAGGGGGGGGAGGGGGTTAAGATGATTCATAATGTATTTGTTCTTATTAAGATAACATTTATAATAAAAGGTTGTAATAAAAAAAAAATATATGTATATGAAAGATCATGTTATGGGATAAACATTAAGGTCTGTCAGGCCTTAATTGATGGGGTATACGGACTTGCAAGCTATCTCTATGTTGGAAAAGCAAATCAAAATCGTATTGGACAGTGTGCATGTATGTGTACTTTTCTGTCAATGAGTTAAAGATACCATCATTATGAAATAAGGTAACCCACTAACGACAGGTGTCCCACATATGAGACACCTGAAAAAATAAACATTGTGATGCTATATCGGGGCACACACACTTCACGCAGCAGCGGGCCATGGCCGACGGGCAGACAGAGTCAGGGGCAGCTCTGCCCGCCAATTTTGTAGCCGCCCGGAATCTTTTATTTTCAGTTTCAAAATATACCGGCGTTAATGGATCAAGGAGGACAGAGAATTTGTAAAGATCATTGGAGGTCTCACTGGACCAGCAACCCCTCAAGGCTAGTACTGTGGAGTTTGCCGAGGAAACATGAGTACTGGACTGATATAATTGGGCAACAGAGAGTTTATTAAATAGATACTATAGATGTCTTCATACTCAGGAGGTTAAAGTTGAAGATATGACTCAGTAATTTTATAGTTATGGATATGATTGTCATATCTTAAATTCACGATATGCTTTTCATGAATTTAAAGCTGGGAATGTAATTTCCATAATATTGAAGTGGAGGAGATAATTGTCATAAACTTTCTAAGCATCTGTACCTTTGGTCATTATGTAGCCTATTCAAGTATAGAAAAATCTAGGCAGAAGTAGATTTAAAGCTTCGATATTTAAAGCTGGCGCAGAGATGACAATGATTTTGTCCAGCTTAAAAAGAGATACAAAATTTAGTATTTATTTTTTTCTTTCTTTTTCTTTTCGTTTTTCTTTTTTCTTCCTTTTTCTTTTTCTTTTCTTTTTTTTCTTTTTCTTTTTCTTTTTTTCATTATTTTGATTTTTAGTATATGATGGTTAAACAGTCCATGGTATTACAATTTGACTAATTCTAAAGCATTTTTCACCTGTACTACTTTTTATCAATCTAATGCTCCCATGAGCAGATGTGACAAGAAGTTAAATATATTTCAAATATATTTTCATATAGGCTACTGGATCATAGATTTTAATTCGACTCCCTCCAGTGCAGGCTCAGTATTATTATAATATATTTAAATTTTACGTATGACAAATGTATATCATTATAATTTCAATTGGTCATTATAAACACAAGAAATGAATTTATGCTTTTGATATATTTACTTACATATACAGTGCTATATGCTTGGAATTGTGAAGTTCTGTAGACCCTTGTCCACGTTCCTTTATTTGTGTCACACAGAATTCAGTAATTTTAACCAAAAAGTTAAATTCACCTCAAATTAACCGTCACATAGTCACGCCCAGTCAAGGTTGAAACTGAATTGGGGCACAAGTGCCATACAGGCACCCTGGCCTCTCCTGACCTTGCTGACCCAGCACTGAGCATAGTGGTGGCCTTGTTTACAAGACCTGTAGATTATCACCCCTATGTCCCCGAGACAGTTTCTATAGTGCCTTGTAAAACATTAAAGGCCTATCCCATCCATGGGATCAACACCACACTCTGTACCTTCAATGGAATGTGGAGCTCCCCTGAACTACCATTCCATGTATCAAGACCAAACTATGTAAGATATTAAGTCTCAGAAACAGGTGTAGGGCTACTGGCCATACACTAGTTTCTGAGGCCATAACATATTTGTGGTCTGTCAACTGCTAGTAAAACTCAACTATGTCCATCCTAGGGTGATGGGCTTTTAAACTTCCACAGTGATTTATTGTCAGATAAGGCCTACAAGGTTTCAAGCCCTGTCTCGCCAGAACATACATAGTGTGATTTATTGACCTCTACTCAAACAAAGTTTGCAGCTGCCAGGACTGCTCGACACTGCTCCATTATCATACCAGACTTCATTTGTAGGTCATCCATCACAAATGACAGCAAGTTTCAGGTTTATTGCATGCTTTACAGCTAATATGTCTGTGAGAAGAAATTCCTGTTTTGAAAGCCACTGTGATCTTTTTTTTAGTAATTCACCAAAGTAACCAAAGTAATTGTGGCAATATCAAGTTATTGCTTGGTCATTAGCACTCTGGCAAGGCAGCAAACTTTTTCATATAATCTGAGAAGCATAAATTAATCATGATTTTCATTTAAAACAATATGCAAGGTATTTTATATGTAACATATAACATATGTATTTTATATGTAGAGCAAAGTTGGCTACAAATGCCTCCAACTATTTTTTTTATTCAATATTAACATGCCTATTAAAAAATATATATATATTGGACACATTACTTACACAATTTTATTCATTTGTACATTTTTCTATTGACAAAATTTACTGATGGTTTTTGTTTTCCACAGCCTGATCTAGGCATCAGAAGCATGGCGCTGTACGAGCCAACCGTTGCCACAAAGAAGGCTACCTTCGGGATGTCATGATTTTGGTTCCCGGAGGCCATGTTCGGCTGTGTCCCCGGGGTCATCCGAACCCGAGTGGGCTATGCCGGCGGGTCAAAGGTTAACCCAACCTACCACAGTTTGTAAGTGTTGGTTGCAGATATCCTATTTGCTGATGTTATTATTGATTTTATTTTATTAGTATTAGTAGCCATATGTTATTATATTATCATTGCAATTACCATTTTTGTTGATAACACTGTTACTATTATTTGTAATAGTTGTAGTAGTAGTAGTAGTATGAGTGTTGATATTATTGTTCATCATAATATTATTAACCCACTAACGACGGGTGTCCCACATATGAGACACCTGAAAAAATAAACATTGCCGGACATCCCGCCAGTGTGACGCTGTATCAGGGCTTGCACTCTGACGCAGCAGCGGGCTGTGGCCGGCGCGCGGGCAAAGTCCAGGCCAACCATGTGCGTCGATTTTGTAGCCGCCCAGAATCTTTTATTTTTGGCTTCAAAATATACCAGCATTAATGGGTTGATAATGATATTATTGTTATTATTATTGATGATGAAATTATTAATAACCCCTTGGATCTGGTTGCATGATGGAAATCACAGAGCTAAAAAACCCCGGGCAATGGGTTATGTAAGTGGCCTAAATCCCGGGCATGTGGCACATAGGCCGGGCACGCATGAACACCCATGAGTTATGACAAGTCTTTGTGCTTCCACTTTGTAAAGTTATCTTTTGTAAACTCTTTAGCTTTATCGCCATTTTCCAATGTCCATATTTGTCTTTTGATTTGCTTTATCCAGATGGTAATTACTTATTATCCTTGAACAGAATCTATATCATTCTCTATGCAGTAAGTAACTCAGTGCAAGAGAAGAAAAATATGGAACATTTGGTTATTTGTGTCATATATCTCATTTTTTCGTAATATTCAATTTTACGTATGTCCATATTTGTCTTTTGGTTTGCTTTATCCAGATGGTAATTACTTATTTTCCCTGCACAGACTCTATATCATCTCTCTATGCAGTAAGTAACTCAGTGCAAGAGAAGAAAAATATGGAACATTTGGTCATTTGTGTCAAATATCAAATTTTTTTGTAATATTCAATTTTACATAATACAACCTGTGCCGCCAGTCACAGCGGCCAGCAATACAGTGCGCTGCATGGAAATGGCGTCCTCCCTGGAGCTGGTGCTCTTCCAGTCACTGCTTATACACATTATATTCCACATTTGTTATCGATGGGAATAATGCTTAAGCCCCCTTCTAAGTGCCAAATGAGTGTATCACACTCCAAGAGGTTTGTGCACTCGTGCTGAGTCTTTTCCATCACCCTGGCCTTAGCTCATGACGGCAGTTCACGTCACCTTGGCAGCTTTCTGAGTTTTTCCTTGACATGACTGCAACGTCATCCGGATCCAAGGGGTTAATAATGTTATCATTGATGGTAATAATATTAACATTATCGTTGTTGTTATCATTATCATCATTATTATTATTGATTTTGTTATTATTATTGTTATTATTATTATTATTATTATTATTATTATTATTGATATCATGATTAGCTTAGGAAGGAAATTTATTATTATTTGTGTCCATGAGAGAGAGTGAAAGTGAGTGAATGTAGCGCAGACAGTATCTCTGTTTCCAAAGCTTTGAAATCAAGGTCTTCATCCAGATATGCCATTAATATCTACTTTCTGTGCTCAGGGGTGACCACACAGAAACTGTGGATGTCGATTATGACCCCTCGCAGACAGACTACCCAAAGCTGCTGCAAGTCTTCTGGAAGAACCACAACCCAACTTCCAAATGCTCTCGGCAGGTATGAATGTGCATTTGCTCGGGTTTATGTGATTGGTTATTATCGCTGTTATTAGTAGTCCTCTTTAGTTCATGAAATATGTAATAGTGGTATATATTTAAAGGTCAGTTGTGTTTTCTCATTACCCAAGTAGAGACTTTGAACGCAATCCATGAATGATAAGTCATTCACACCAGGTTCCTATCCCTATCTCTATCTCTCTTTCTCCCTACTGCAGTATATGTCTGCCATTTTCTACCATGACGGGGAGCAGAAACGTCTAGCTGAGGAAACCATGAAGGAGGAACAGAAGAATCATGGGAAGCCCATTGCAACCACCATTGCCCCCATGAAAGAGTTCTACATTGCTGAAGAGTAAGTTGTGACTGTAGCCGTGATTTGTGAGGTGGCCTTCTCTTTCTCCTGTTCCCTTTCCTCTTACCTTTTATATTCCTTATTCTTTTCTAACATCTCTCTTTCTCTTCTTTTTCTTTCCCTTTTCTCATCTTTTCTCTTTGCTCTTTTCTCTTCTCTCTTCTCTTTCCTTCTGTCTCATATTCTCGCCTTTTGTAATTTCATCCCTTCTCTTTTCTTCATCTTTTTCTTTTTCTTTTCTTTTTTCTTCTCTTTGTTTTCTTCACATATTATCTCTTTACCTTCTCTTCTCTTTTCTTCTTCCCTTCTTCCCTTCTCTTCTTTTCTTCTCTCCTCCACTCCTCTCCTCTTCTCTCTTTTCTTTTCTCCTCTCCTCTTTTATTTGATTTTATTCTCCTCTCTTGTCTTCTGTTCTCTTCTCTTTTCTCTCATCTCCCATCCTATTTTCCACTTTTCTCTCCTTTTTGGTTTTCACCCCTTCTCTTCTCTTCTTTCGTTTGATCCCTTCACTTTTCTCTTCTTTTCCCTTCCCTTCCTCTTCTTTCCTGTTGTTTTTTTCTCTCTCTCTCTCTCTCTCTCTCTCTCTCTCTCTCTCTCTCTCTCTCTCTCTCTCTCTCTCTCTCTCTCTCTCTCTCTCTCTCTCTCTCTCTCTCTCTCTCTCTCTCTCTCTCTCTCTCTCTCATTTTAACCACTAGCTGCCGGATGTCGTACATATATGCTGTGGCTGTTGTGGACTGAAAAACGGATGGCAACTTTTTTACATAGTGCCATTTGGTTAATTTCTTCAAAATTCTATTCCTCTTTTTCTCTTCTCATGTTTTCTGTTTTCTCATCCCTCTTCCCTTTTCTTCTGTCTCCTCTTTTCGTTTTATCTATTAAGAAAATTTAGATAAATGTTGTAATTTCCAACTTCAGTTAATGGGTACATATAGCAGTTTCTTGCTTTCTGTCCTAGTCTGTTTTTGCTCCTGATATAGCATATTTTGCAAGAATTTGAACATATAAGTTTGAGTTTTGATGTTGTTTTATTATTATATTTATTTTTTAAGCATCTGTCATAACTTTTCTTCTTGTGGTGCAGCTACCATCAGAAGTACATTCTCCAGCAACATGCCCCAGTAATCAACAGCCTGGACATTGACCCCGGAGATGAGCTCATCTCGTGCCATGTTGCAGCTCGCATCAACGGATACTTGGGTGGTTATGGATCAGTTCCAATGTTTGAGAGGGAGTGGAGTAGGTGGGGAATAACAGAGAAGACAGCAGATTACATCCGTAAGCAGATCATCTCTTCCTTTCGTGGCAAATGCTAAACTCTGATGCCTTCCTTTGAATTGTAGGGAATCAAGAAAGCAACTTATTTAGGGTATTAGTTATTCAGATGGTGTAGGAAGGAATATGTAATTTTATGTTTGTTACTCTCCCCCCATTTCCCAGATTGATGATTTATATTGAAAAAGAGTGCTCTCCATGTCTTTTTTTTTAACGCAGTTTCCTTTTACCTATATTTACCCTGCCAAGTATCAGGTACTTCATTGATGTGATTTGAGCCAAATCCGAGATTTGTAAAAGAATGGGATTCTTTTTAAATAGAAAGGGGATAGTTCATTTGTATGATTGCAATCATGATAATTTCTTGTCAGATTCAAGATATCAGTTATCTGGTTTTTTATTTTTATTTTTTCCAGTGTTATATTTCTCTCATACAGCCAGAAAGGCTATTTCCTATCATGCAGTATTCATGCTAACCTCACCGTCCAGTTTAGCTGCAGTTGTAGACTTCTGCAGCAGATTATTACAAAGCTTCCCTGTGCATGCATTATATGGTGTTAATTTTTGATATTTGTAAACTCAGGATCAGGAAGAATGTTTCATGCCTTAATGAGCTAACTCATTAGAGATAAGGCATTTCCATTCTAACCCCACTCCACTCATACTCACTGCAGTGTATGGTATAGTATGTTTTATGTTGTTACACAGCAATGCTTTTGTGAATCCGAATGAAGTTTATTGTACTTGTGAAGAATGATGTGGTTTGCTTACAATTGGTCACATAGTCAGGAAAGAATTTAATGTGTATATAGTTAGCTTCAGGAATGGGGTATTTGTACTCTTGTTGGATTTGAGATCTAAATGCATCATAATGCATGGTAATGGTAAATGCAGTGCCCAGTAACAATGCATTTAATTGTACTTACTTTGAGTATTTTGATAATCATAATCTAATACTCAGTGAATGATGTTGATTATGGTAAGTTTCTTTTTTCTGTATGTCATTTTCATTATGTATTCATGTTGAAAATTGATAGTTTCTCTTTGACACAGGAAACACGATGGGTTGATTAATCAAACCCATGAAATTAATGAGAATTGGATATGTTGCACTTATCAAGTTGCATGGAAATCAAATTTATTTTTTAGTAAGTAATCCAGGCGAGACAGTTATTATGGTTTTTAATAATAATAATATTTTTTAAGGTGCCAATGATAAAGTATATTTAGTATATGCATTTTTGTAAGTGACATGTACACATATATAAACTTTTTGGTGCCTTTCTTTGTAAGACATTTATTTACTTTGACCATACATGGTAATGTTCCCAAGGGTCTGCGCAATTCAAGCAGATAAATGAAAGAATTAATGTCAGAATTTCATCTCCTCACCAGCCTGTTACTCTAGGCCAGATTGCACCATATCAAATGCAATAGAATTTTGTGTGTGCTTTTGGTGTCATGTTGAATCAATGGTAATGTTAGATAGGCTCCTCTCCTGTGGTCTACTGTTTTTAGTTTTCAACATATTTACCAAGTTTTGTTTCTCTGTGTTGATTCCCATGTTATTTTATGGTTGTAGAAAAATATTTAGAATATTGTTTGTACAAATCTTCAGTTCACTATATGATCCAAGAAATATTACATGATTTGAAGACTGAGAAACAAGAGGCCTTGGGTGGTTGCGCTCCCGTGTGTACCTATTTTTCTCGACATGAGGACCATCAGCACAGCAGTCCACTACCTCCCCTGTCAAATTATTGCAATAGTGCCAGAACAACTTATCCAAGCCGAGAGTAAAGGGCTAAAGTAGGGGATTTCTGCACAAATAGATGATATTAGCAAATCTAGAATATCTCATTTTCAAAGACAAATATGTACATGAAAGGAGAGGCATCAGTACAACTCATTTTATTTACATTTTTGTGGGTAATGTATAACTACACTCGATGAGCATTTCTCAAGTCTCAAGATGTTGCAACAACTAATGCCTTAGTCTCTGCTGCCTTAAAAGTGTCTCAAGTTTAAACTATGACGAATCAATTTTGAGTTTAAGGCTGATTTATGATCAGATTTTTTAAGTTCACTGGCTTTAGTTGTAATTTTGTAATTGCATGATTATTCTAAAACAGATCTTAGTATCAGTGTGCTGTTGTATGTACGAATTATTGATTATTGTGTATTGTATTGATAATTGAATATGTCTGAGTAAGTGCATGGTTAGCAAAGTATTTTTGTGAATGAATACTCTCTTTTTCTCTGTATGCCTTTGGATTTTTTTTCTCAAGATTCCTTTGTATTGAATTGATTATAAGAGTTTTTTATATATTCTGGACACCATTGTTAATTCAAGACTCTAAATAAGATGTATTTCTCTTTGCAATATGGTACTTTAGCATCAGACTGTAGTGATCCCTTACTTTTTAAAGAGGAACTTTTAATAAAGAGACAACCTTCATAATGAGATGCAACAGTGCATGAAAGTCCGTCATCTGATGCAGCTTCCATTGAAACATGAAACTCATGAATCAAAGCAGTTCCTGCTGTTTGTGGGTGGAAGAAATCATAGAGGTGGAATAGGCATCATATGATGTACTGTTTTTGCATGTTTGTTGTATCTTTGTTCGAAACATACAGGCCACAGTGTATTAAAGCTTTGAAATTTATTTACTGTGTTTAACTTTTTCCCTTCTGTTCATATTCTATAACAAATAGAGATACACTGACTACACCTTTATGAGAATAGTCATGCTTCTGATGTGTAGTTTCCAGTCTTGCAGTTTGACGGAATAAAACCAGAATTCCTCTTTCTTTGTGAAAAAAGGTCAGTAACTTTTGAAATGTTAATTTTGAATAACGGATCTTTAACTCCTCATATCTGATAGATAATGGGGTTTCATGTCATGTTTGACTTGGCTACGGCTCTGGGTCAAGTGTTGTTTACATCATGGCCTACTTTCATACCTTCAGGCGATTGGTCATTCGCATTATGCTTAACGTTTAAAACCAATAAATGTGCTAGACGTTTAAGGTCATATAGCATTATGGTAAAGTATTGTGTCGGAAAGGGGAAGGAGGAGTTCAAGATTAGGATAAAATGTGTCAGATATCAAAGATTAGAGTGTGTTACAGGACAGTACTGTAGTGAAAAGAGAAAAGGGGAGTGCGTGAACTAGAGCAGAGATTAGTAGAAAGGGGAGGGTTAAGGGGCGTAGAGCGACTGAGTGACTTAGTGTACCTCACTGGGGAAGGTATAGAATAATGCTCAAAGAAAACAGATGGCTGCTGGAAAAGTAGGGGAAGAATCCAGGGAGAGAGGAGGGTTAGATGTCAGAGTGTCATAGGAAAATATGGTAGCGAAAAGGGAAAAGAGAGAAGTAAATGAGGTAGAGCAGGGATTAGTAAAATGGGAAAGGTTGGGGGATAGAGGGTATGGCATTTTATCTGTAATTGGGGAAGGAACAGGGACATTATTCAAGGAAAACAGAGGTGGCTGTTGAGGAAGTAGAAGAATTTGGGGGATGAGAAAAGGGGACGGGAAGGTGGTAAAGTATCAGGAAGAATGTCTGGAGGGGAGAGGTCTGAAGAAGGACATTGTTGTGATAGAGGGGATTCATGTGAGTATTTAAGTGGGTGCAGTAGAGAGGGTGGGGTATGTTGGGAGGATGTAGGAGAAAGGGGGGTGGAGGGAACTTGAGGAGGAGGATGGATATTTGCAAATACTTTAAATATAGAAGTAGGAACAGAGGGATTGGGGGTGGATGAGGGAGTGGAGTGTTTCCTTGGGTCATCTCTAGGAAGTTTTGGATGTCATCAAGGGTTTTTGGAGGGGAGTTGAGTGAAGAGGACAGAAACAAAGGTTCTCTTGGAAGAAGAACAGATAGATATCTGTAGGAGCAGAAGAGGAGGAAGGTGTACGAGAGGGTGGTGTGGAACGTTTAGGTTGCCTGGTGCTACAAAAAGAGTGAGGAGGAGGGGTAGGTATCGGGGAAGTGTCAGACATTGGAGTCCCTGGACTTTGACTTTAATACAAATTTGACTGAGGGATAGGGTGAGTAAAGGTAGAATGTTTTAGGGTATAGGGAAGAGATACTGGGGGAGATGCAGAAACGTCTTGCGAAGATGGTGGAGAAGCAGAGCGATGGACTGTTTTGGAATAAGTTGAGAGAGAATAACGTCATGCTTCTTGTCTGACCTCACATACAGATAGGCCTAGTTTGAATCCGAGGACTGCTACCTCACATCTGATCTTATAGATAGATAACAAAACAATGAAAAAAAGGTGCATCACTGACCCATACTCGTAAGGAAACCATTCTTTTTCACAGTAATTTGATGATTTTTTAGGCATAATAACAAATACTGAAAGTCAGATTGAAATTTTATTGTAAGTATCAACTGCCTATCACATGATTAGTATCACATATGACTCAGTATAATACAATGTTACAATTAGTCAGTGGTACAGAATAGGTGAGGCAGGTAATTCTTCAGTTTTGATGTACTGCAAACTGCAGCATGAGTTTAAAAAACAAATTAGAGAATTAACCAATAAGGAATGTTTTAGGTTCAGAAATTAAAAAAAGAAAGTAATGGCACAAAAGAATTCTAACATTAAATTATCATACAATTTGTAGTAGAGTTACATCTGATTATTTTTTACAAAAAATATATGCAAAATATGTTTGTTTGTTTGTTTACTTTTATAAAACTAGCTACTGAAATTAGGTTGTCCTTTTGCTTAATGAAAAAACACATCTAAAACAAGCTTGAGAAATTAAATGTACATAAACTTGGCATGGCATTTCTATATTAATAAATAGAGCTAAACGAAAATGGTCCAAAAGCAGCAACCTGATTATTAAAATAAAAATAGATCTTGTTTGCAAAATTCAAACCTTTTAGGGCATTTTTCCTATGATTAAATGGTTTACATATCAAGTGATGAAAATAATTGTCTTTCTAAAATAAATCAGTTGTAATGAAAAATATGAGATGTAAGACATGTGTAACTAGCCTTATTTTTCATCTCAAACAGTGTTACCACAAAACAATTTATAAAGAAATTTTGTAATCAATATATCACCTCTTTCAACCTATTTTCAGTCCTTGTGCTTTGTTAGCTTGCAATAATTTACAAACAATAAAGGATGCCTTTTTAAACATCAAATAAAATGTTTTCATTCACTTTTTCTCTCAACAATTATTCATAATATAGTAACTGTACAACAGAATCTTCCATATATAAAAAAAACACTCCATCAGCAAGTAACTTATACATGTTTTTGATAATTCATGTTAAATTAACTGAGGTTTAAAACCTTGAATAATATAACCTACCTGGATATGGATATCTCAATTTTATATATATTGTATAATAAGTATGTTGCTGTTAAAATGTTAAAATTCATTCTTTTTAGTACAGAAATAAAGCGTCGCATCTTAACAAAAAAGAAGCTACTAATTTTAAGCACTATCTTCAGCTTTCATTCAGATTCATAGAAAAATTCTTTTAAATGCCCAACACAAATAATTAATGCTAACCACATGAATTAGTTCAATCTTAAGATGTAAAAGAAGCATGCATGTGCTTCACAAATTATGTGGTACAAATTGCACATCTTTTCTTGGATGTACTAATTTCAATGCTTAAAACACTTGCACTAAAATACATTAATATACCACTGCATTAAGCATATCCAGAACAAGTACATTATTTGCTGCACACATTTCATCTTTGGTGACTAACTTTTTACCTTAGTCTCACTCACATAACCATATCATATAAGATCTTTAAAAATGTATAGTAGTAATGTGCAAATAGCATATTTCAAATTAACAACTTTACATTTATAGTGTGAATGAATCTCTCAATTCTACCCAATCTAGGGATAGCAGAATAAAGAATAAAATAGCAAAGCTATACAAAAGTAATTTAACATATTCAAGGACTCAACATATTTGGTAAGTCATACTGATTTAAAGCAGCCTCTATTTTTTTTCTTTTCAGGTCTTCTTATTTACTATCAGCCTTATCTTGCACTTGCATCAAAGCACAACACAGATTGCTTTAATAAAAGAACTTAGACTATCTGAAAAAAATGACTTTGAAATAATTTCTCTTTAGTTACAGTATTAGAAAAAAATATACATATATCTATAATATATATAAGCAACTACGACCAAACAGTCAATCCATTAAAAACTACAAATTACTCATCTATATCAGGATATACAATAAAAAAAAGAGTTAGAAAGTTAACACAAATTTAACACAACATAATGATTACAACTACAAAAAAGCAAGGATTTCTACTCCCTTGTTACCCAGCATATTGGCTCAAGCTCACACCAAAATTAAGTTCAGCTTCATGTTTCGGATTGCTGTCTGCAAATTTTTCATCTTTTAGGTATACTCCTTTTTACTCTATTTACCCTGTCAGTCTATTTCCTGAATACAAAATAGTTGATATAATAACAGAATAATAATACCCAAGCCTCTCTGAGCTGAAGCCATCCCAGGAGTTCACTAAAGCCATTTCAACCATTTGAGTATTACAAGAAACCAGTATTTGGTGATTACAAAAGGAAAATATAGCTCATTATTTATGTAATGAAAGGAAACTAAAATAGCTGTCATAAAACACAAGAGACAATGTAATATAAAACCTTAGAAATAAGTAAAATATACTTAAAATCCTAGAACTACTGACTGGTTTGATAAAGCTTCACGTTATTCAAGAATAAGCTGGTGCTACACAACAGCAAGTCATAAGGTACTGTGCTCTTCCGCCTGGTATGATTATTGCTTTTTGCCATTAGACACAATATCTTACAACTATAACCTGATCAACAAGATCTAAATACCTGATACGTTTCATATCAAATTCAAGCATGCCAGCAACAGGCGAGTCTCATAACATAACACATACTTTACTTTCTTATGTGATATTAAGGATAAATATAATCATGATAATATCAACAATAATAATAATAAAAAAAAATAATAATAAAATAAATATAACAAAATAATAATAACAATAATAATAATAATAATAATAATAATAATAATAATAATAATAATAATAATAATAATAATAATAATAATAATAATAATAATAATATAAATAATATAATAATAATAATAATAATAATAATAATAATAATATACAATAATAATAATAACAACAAAAATAACATAATAATGATGATTGATGATGATGATATAATAATAATAATAATATATAGTAGTATCAATAATAATAATGATAATAACAATAATGTAACAATAACATTTACAATATCAATAATAATAAAATGATAATTTTGAGATTAATAATAATAATAAATAATAATAACAACAATAACTGTTGATTATGCTGACATTAATAATTATACTGATGATGATGACGATGACAATGGTGATGGTGATGATGACAATGATGATGATAGTGATAGTAATAATAATAATAATATAGTAGTAGTAGTAGTAGTATAGTAAGTTTAGTTGTAGTTGTAGTTGTAAAGTTGTAGTTGTAGTTGTAGTTGTAGTTGTATAGTAATAATATATAATGATAATAATGTAATAATGATAATAATGATAATAATAATAAAGTAATAATAATAGTGATAGTCATGATGATGATGACAGCGATAATTATCATCACTGTAATATAATAATAGTAATGATAATAATCATTATCACAGACTATCATATTAAAATAATGATGAAGACAATGATAATGATGATGATCATCATGATTTTATGATGATGATCATCATGATTTTATGATGATGATGATGATGATGATGATGATGATGATGATGATGATGATGATGATGATGATGATGATGATGATGATGATGATGATGATGATGATGATGATGATGGTGGTTAATAATGATGATGATGATGATGATAATCAAATAAAAATAAATAATGATTTTGATAATGTTAATGATATGATAATGATACTGATATTCATAACAATCAAACAGATACTTCTAAATCTGTGGGGAATAACAAAATAAAACATTAAAAAAAAATGAAGACCATACGCATACTGAGCTGGCAATAATCCCTAATTTGGTTAGTAAAAACAATATTCTTGTACCATGTCCTCTGCATTCATATACATATCCAAGGAAGTCTGCGAGTTATGCGTGGAAGAAGTCTATACTTTCCTCATACTCTGATGACACATTTATCTAACTCATATTATAATTCTATTCAGCCAGAAAAAAGCGCAAATAATATGCACAAATAGCATACATACAAAATAATGCAGCAAGGACACTCAAAAGTATTGTAATTTTACTTCAGTACCACAAACAGCTGCAACTCTTTCTTCAGTGAAATATCTGAATATGGAAATGCTAAATCATTACGTACTGTCAATAAGAACTGGCCTTGTTCTTTTTCCTTGCTCATCAGTATTGCTGTACCACAGTTATACTTCCCAATACACATAATATGCAGTTAATATGATACTTCTGAGTAGCCTCACTGAAAGTAGATGTATTACCAGTTCTATAAGACGAAATGAATTTTGACAGACTGCTGCCTCAGGTCTATCTCATACCCATTGTGCATGCAATGCATTCACTCTCTATTCTCATCCACACAAGAAGGCAAAGAGACTTGCTTTTCATAGGTATGTTAATCACACATTTACAGAACTGTAACGTACAAAGGAAATGTTCAAGTCATGGGAATTAACAAATATTTCTAATGTTTTTTTGTTCTTTTTTGTCATTGTTTTGTTCTTTGTTTTTTACTTTTTCATTAAGAAAATGAGGTACAGCTAGAGAAATATGAAACTAAACAAAAATATGACTCTACTGGAATTCACAAATACTGAAAATTGCAACTTAAAAACAAAATAATAATAACAATAACCGTGTGACTAACATCTTAAGGCAACAATGTATAGTAAAAACTACATTGTGAAAACCAACAACATACCTAGCCTAAGGCCTCTCTATTCACTAGTTATTATCACATACTATTATTTTTGGCTAAGTGACTGCAATGTTCAGTAAACAGTATAGAGTAAAAGCTTCAAGATACACTTGGTACATCGCAATGGCACTAGTCGTATTACTATTTCAAAGTATCCTCACTCACTGGAATTACCTTGGTAATAACTTTAACGATAATATCCATGAATCCTGAAATTTATTTAATTTCAGTAAATCTATGAACAGTAAATGTCAATTATGTTAACATATTGAAACATTAAGCTCTTGTAGCTGTAACAGTATAAATGCACACTTGTTAATATCTGTGAGAGTAATATATGGCAGGAACAAATGTTTAGGAATTCTGCAAGTAGCAAACTATTGCTCTTGGTAAATCTATACTTCTCTCCATGAAATTTTGGAATGTTTCTTATCACCTTTACATGCCTATCACTAACAAATACCTGTAATGCAAGTGTTTATGACAAAGCTCTTAAAAAAATCTGATTTAAGCAGAAAAAAAGAAAAGAAAATTTAATTTCCAACCCATTTCAGGGTTAAAACAGCAAAACAAACATGTAATTCTTTACTTAAAGAGTAACCATTACTCTAAATACAGCAAAGCATAAAATGCAATACATGGATCTCTTTCCCAATGAAATTGAATCCCTGTATAATAGACCCCCTCTCTTTTAACAAAGTGGAATTCCTGAATAATAATTCCACATATCACAACATCCCAGGGATTCCTTCTCAATTGTGTAGGATGAGTCCATGTTTCCTTGCAAAAACAGAAAAAAGAAATATCTGGCACATATTATGTTTTGTCACATAAATAAAAAGTCTCTATGGGTTTAAATCACATATGTTTCATGAGATTATTTGAGATTTCTAGGGATGTACATTAAAGCCATCCATCGCGTAAAAAAGTAACGAGTCGTACAAAGATAAAAATTTGTAAAGAAGATACAAATTCAAGTAAATGTAATATTCTACATTCTCTAACGTTCTTAACCTTGGACATAGGTTCTGCGAAGAATATGGACAAGAGGTTTGTCTAAAGCTTGGCTGTTGTGCAGGAAGTCTTCGAGTACCTGCAAAAAAAATATATATATACACATATTTATAAAAAATAATAACAAAATGAGCAAACACACAGCATAAACTGCTACAGCATTTCATTTTATCATAAGAGAAAAACAAATCTTGAAGCAATTTATAACAACAAAAGAGGAAAAATTAAGAAAAAGATTGTACAATAATGTTTCTGACAACACAACAATAAATCATATGTCATTACAATAAATACAATACATTTTTGATGACTTAGGACTGTTGAATTATCTATGGATTATCATGCAGTTATCAATAATACTAACAGTAATGAATTTTCAAAAATATATAATAGAAACATGAATTGTAATAGTAATGGTAACAGATATAAAATCTCCTCTTTCTGAAAATACAAGGAATGTGGTAAAGGTGAGACAGTCAATCGGTCCATTCTTATTTCCATACAATCACGAATCCATACACCCAATTAACAACTATCACTACTTTCCATAAACAATACACTAAACTTGACAAGCTACAAACCTGGAAACTCATTTCTTGCTGCAGTATGAGCATGTTGTCATGGTTGCCCAGGCTACACGCAAGGAGAGTTGGGAAGAGCACGGCTGTAAGGCGGGGTTCACTGAAGTATTGCCACGGGAGATTGCACAACTGCTGCAACACGCTCGGCATCTCTCCACTCTGGATGACCATCTAGGAAGAGGAACACATTGAGAAACGTTGCTCATTTCTACTGTTGCCTTCTTTGCTTAAAGATCTAGTTGTTCTTGAAATCCTAAATCATAATATGGAATGTACCTGATCAAAAATGCAAATTTATAACCATATCTCTTTAATAATTAGGTTACAAAATAATAAATGTACGAAATCACCTCTCAAAACCCATAAAATATCAAAATATGAAAAAAAGAAATATTTTCTTTTAAGAATTTCTACATACTTGATTTTCTTTGTTGTTAACTGCAAAGAATCCCACTAAAGGTATAACATTGTGCAGAATATCATCACATGGCCAATGGGAGCAGTACCAAAGGAGGTAGCTGGCAATATGACGCAACTCGAGGGATATGCCCTCACTGCCCAAAATTCCCTGTAGAAACAAAAGGAAAAACATAACAATAAAATCAACATGTAGAGCAATAAAATTTTGGTTTTATTAGACTATTCTGTAAAATCTCCTCATCCATACTACTTTCATGTATTACCACCTGTTATAAACATTTTCATCTCTTTTAAAAATAAACAATCATGGGGGAAAATGACAAGATATGAAAGACAGTATATACAACATGCTAGAAATGCAATAATTTAAACTATGATAGCACAAGGATTATCACACATCATTACATCTGTCTCTGTGGAGGGTTACAGGACATTAAGTTGTTTTTTTCACTTTCTTTCAGGTAATTCACCAAGTTACTTTTCTAAGCAATATCCTCAAAATACTCAAAAAGGAAAAATATTCTTGAAATACCTAGGAGAATATTGCAACATATTTACTGCTTGGAAGTGAATGGACATCCCCACCTTACTATCATCATCTTCAGACAACACTTCAAGCCTTTGTTTACTACTCCCTCCACAAAAATTCAATCCTTCACATCCTTTCATTCTTTCACATCCTCATCCACATTCCTACTCCCCCCACCCCTCCCTACCTGAAACATGTTCAGATCCAGTGATGCTAGCTGGTGCAGTAAGGTTGTGGCTTCGATGGTAAGCGCTTCTGTCATCTTCGATAGCTTCGCTGGAGCCTGTGCCATAGATGATCTACCTCCCTGATGCAAAAGCAGGCCATACAGGAGACTTACAACTCCGCATGCATCAGTCACGTGCAAAGTGCCAATCAGCTGTGTTGGGTCGTCAGGCAGTGACCTGACAGGTGATGACAAAGTAAAAATTTAGATATTTGATAAAAATAAAATTTTTATGTAACGAACATATATCGAACTGTGAAGGAGACAATGTATTATTTACAATGAATGATTACTGAGAAGCACCCATAATTAAAAAGGTGCAACCTAAACTCTTTCACAGTAGGCTAGAGGATACAATGCAACAAACACATGTGGGTAATTTCTGACAAATCAAAATAGGAAACTTTTTAAAAAATAGTTGATAATGGTACAGAAATGAAAAAAAAACTATTGATACTACAGTTAACAGACATTCCTCAGGCACTGAATAAGGATGGCTGGCAAGAGGTAGGGGATGCTAGATAGTGCTTGAGTACTCAATCATGCTTTCTATTAACATTTTTCTTATATAAACACTTCAATATTCCCACAAAATGAAATATCATTTTAGCCATCCTCCCGTACATGCAAGTAATATTATGTTTGCTTATACAGGCTGGCTAAAAACAGCATCACTATAGTTAATGAAATTACCTGAAGGAGAGGCACTTTGCAAGTGCAGAGATGTGCCTCATGGCAGCAAGTATAATCTCTACAACACCTACATCATTGTCCAGAGGTCCCTGTACATGGCTGAAGTACCATGAGATTTTGTCTGCCAGTCCCACACTGACACAGTAGCTTACTACATCCTGTGCAATGGAAGGATCATTAGGAAGATTCAAGACCATACAATATTTTAGTAGCTCTGTCTCAAAAAAATAATCACATCACACAAAACTTCAATTAAATATATATATATATATATATATATATATATATATATATATATATATATATATATATATATATATATATATATATATATATATATATATATATATATATATATATATATATATATATATATATAATATATATATATATATATATATATATATATATATATATATATATATATATATATATATATATATATATATATATACAGGAAGCATACTGTCAATAAATAAGTAACAAAAAGGAAAAAACAAAAAATGAAACAGTTTATTTCACAAAAGATCTCTTACTAATTACATGGTTAACTTACCTGTATTCTTAGCCATGTAGTTTCTGCCTGATCCTTCCGAGACTGATCTTGCGACGACAAACCAGACTTCAAGTCAGAGTCACACAGCACCTGTGCCATCTCCGCAAGGACCTGAGTGTCCATAGGAGTCCAAAATTATGAAGGATTACACATCAAAAGCTTATTTCTCTATGATTCAGTTGATTCAGTTTCTGCACTATGACTATGTTTATTTAAAGATAGATTTCAAAGACTTATAATGCCTTCTGATCTAAGTTTTTTTTATACACAACACAAGTACTATGAAACATAAAAACAGAATAAATCTCAAGATGAATATAAGAGTATGTAAATCTAGTAAACTAAACAGCAATAAGGATTTGCACATTAAACTCACCTCAAACATTGCACCAATTGCAGCATCAGAAGGAAGATTAACAATAGTGTTTATACTGCCATTGCTTCCCACTCTTGTCGTTTCAATTACTAATTCATTCAGTCGCTGCATGAGATAATCAATTAGAGTCCCCGCCAAATTAGAGTATAAGACATAGCGGCAATTGTCTGGATTGTTCCTGCAGGCGCCCAGCAGCACACGTCCACAGAACCCAAGGGATTTGGCAGGTAATACACAGGGTCTCTGTTCCGTGGCATCGAGTATCACTTTCAGAACTGAATTCAATTTCACAAACCCATTTTGTGCACTGAACATTGCCTGATCAAGCTTCTCTTTCTTCTCTAGTATTCTCAGGAGCTCCAACAGCGGTCTGTCTAAGGCAGTCAAATCAGCAGTGAGCCACGGCCCAGATCCCTGGTTTGCAACGAGCTTGACAATTTGTTGCAAGGCCTTCATTATGCGTAACTTGTTGGGGGAATCCTTCAACGTTGCTGGCTTGAAGGTAGTCTCATACTCCTTGCCTCTTGTTGTCATCCGAGTGCGGATTTTTTTGCATCTTCGCTTCAAGGCTTTTTGTCTTTCTTTGTCTCTTGTGACCTGTAAATAAGAATCATGATATTATATAGCTGGATGGCAGGATAGACTGATGGATAAATTGACTAATTCATTGATTAATGAATGGGTGGACAGATGAGTGGATTAATACATGGGTAAATGAGTGGATGGATGGATGGATGGATGGATGGATGGATGGATGGATGGATGGATGGATGGATGGATGGATGGATGGATGGATGGATGGATGGATGGATGGATGGATGGGTCGATTCATAGATGGATGAACTGACTGACTGAATAATCCAATGCATACACAAAATTTTGCCACATACTTTACAGGAGATCACTTGTTCCTCGGAATCAACCAATTTACCTGTGGGTCATCAATATTGGCCGGAGCATCTATGATGTGCTTGAGATTATAAGTTTCACTGTCCTCATTGGAGATATCGCCACCCTGATGAAGTGCTCTTAGGGCCTCTTGGTGGTGTCGGCCACGTAGGTGACTCAACAGGTATACTTCACTCGTTATCAGAGAGTTACAGAGAGTGCAAAGTTTTTTGGTTTCATACCTGTAAGAAAAAAAGGGGTTAGTATTAGTTTTCCCTAAAATGTAAAATATACACACACATACGTGCACACACATGCACACACATACACACACACACACACACACACACACACACACACACACACACACACACACACACACACACACACACACACACACACACACACACACACACACACACACACACACACACACACACACACACACACACACACACACACACACACACACACACACACACACACACACACACACACACACACACAAACAAACACACACACACACACCTTTCTATGTCTGTCTGTCTGTCTGTCTGTCTGTCTGTCTGTCTGTCTGTCTGTCTGTCTGTCTGTCTGTCTGTCTGTCTGTCTGTCTGTCTGTCTGTCTGTCTGTCTCTACCTGATGAGTTTGGGCGCATCATCACAGCCTCTGGAATACTTCATGATGGAAGACTCAAGTGCCCGCTGACGGATCTGCTCGATATTTTCCTCATGCCTTCGAGCTGACTCCTCTTGCTTCTGCTGGATCTTCTTCACTAATTCCGTCTCCTTCGCTTGTTGTGCCTAGAGAGGATGAGAAGGTATTGATGAAGGCAAACTAAACAATTCCAAGGTGATAAAATAAGTCCAGATAACCTTTGATACCTGACATCTACTTATCTGACATTTTGTTGTTCTGACATTTACAAATAGGAAACCTTTTTTATTAAGCTCCTACCAGGCTAGCACACTTTTCCTTTGTCCTATGACATCCAACCTCTGTCCTCAGCTGAAAACATGCTGTCTCCCTATCAAATGAGCTTGATAGTTTCATTGAGAAAAACATAACGAGAGCAAGTACTATCTGGAGTAACAGATTCCTTTCTAAATAAAATTAGGATTTACTTAACCATATGGTGATGGGACCAGATTTGTTTGTGAAATAAACCCTTTAACCAACATTTCAAACTAACACTCAGCCCACTCCATCAAACTCAGAAGGAGATCCACATTTGTAACATAAATAATTAGAATTACTATCACAGAGTAAAAAATTATGATGAGATGGTGATAGGTATTACTGAATTAAGTTTCAATACAAGATAAGGTGGGTAATGGACAAGACAGGAAGACTGGAAGAAAAGATCTACTATCTACCTTTCTATAAAGTACATCCCTGTTAGATAACAGGGGTTAACATTACAAACGTTTATCAGTCTTCAAAAAAATATACAATCATATGAAGTTGAGCACATAATGCTTACTTGCTGAAGTGCAGACAATCTCTCTTCTCGGTCTCTTGCTTTCTCTCTTGCCTGTTCCAGCAATTCCTCTCGCCGCTCAGCCTGTTTCCGATCAATGCGCTCACATCGTCTTCTCCGCTTCTCACAAAGTTCAGCCATACGAGCCTTAGGATACAAGACATGGTAATTATGCATAAATGTAACTGACTATTGGACAAAAACATCCTACTTAGATAGTTTCCAATATTCAGTTGGAATACTAACTCTTAGACACAAAAAATACAGAAAAGTTTTATTGAGTTAGACATTTCCTTTTTTCATTCCTTTCTTTCTTTTGTCTTACCTGCCTCTCTGCTTCAAGAGCTTTTCTTCTCTCCTGAGCTGCCATTTCCTTTGCTGCCTTTTCCTCCTGTCTTCTTGTCCTCTCCTCAGCCATGTCAGCCAAACGAGATTCATGGCTCTAGAAAGAAAAATGTGGAATATATGAAGACAATTTCCAAAAGAACCCAAAGTTTGAAACTGAATGAAAATGTGATTAAGACTGCTGATATGAAGGCTTTGGACTAATATCTCCATTCACAACTTGGGTTTCTTTCAACATTCATTTACATTTACAATTTTTTTTTTTTTTTTTAATGTTTCACATCTTGGAACCAAAACTTTTTACCCTTTGATCAAACTTTCACAAAATGAAGTTTTCTATATGTATGATATAAAAGAAAAAAGAAAAAAAAACTACAACTGCATCACAGTTTTATTTACTAACAATTTATACCATAACCTAGAATACTAATGCATCATCAGCTAAGAAAATACACATTAGTCATACCTGATGTTGTTGCATAATGTCATGCAACTTATTCTTAGCTTCTAGCCCATTAATGAAAGCAATCTCCTTTGCTTTATTTTCCTCATCATGAGCCTTGTTTATGATCTCCTGCAAATGCTGTCGTCTTTTCTCTTCGGCTCTTTTCATCTTTCGTTGGAACAGATCTCTCTTCTCACCCAGAAGCAGTTCCTTATCTTGACGGACTTCTTCAATCTAGTGGGAGTGTACCATGAGTTCAAAAAGATATTAAAGAATATTCTCTCCTTTCCAGCTAAATCAACACAAAGTAAGGTTATCATGATGCTGATAATTTTCCTCTAATTCAAGTCAAGTACATTATAATATGCAAGTATCTATCAATATTTATCAACATCTATAAAAACAACAAAATCTATGTCATTAAGCTATGCAGACAGTAATTTCTCAAACAAGGCAATTCAGTATGGTAATCTCAATGTATATTGAAACACTCACACATCATATGTATGAGCATTTGTTAGTACTTGGGGGGGGGGGGGGGGGGAAATCTCATTTTATACAAAGACTACTACTACGAGTTACTAAAATAACATGAAATTGAACTACAAATCAATACTATATGAAAAAGGAACTCCTCAAGCGAATTACCTTCTTGAATAAATCTTTAAGCTTGTCAGTTTTTGCCTGAATGAGCTTCTCTCGTAATTCTTGAGCTTTGGCCAACTTCTCCTCATGACGCCTCATTTTTTCGGACAAGGAGCGTTTTCTTGAGGGAGATGACAGCTTCTCATGGATGTGCAAAACCCTCCCAGGATGTCGCAGTTCCTCTAGTGACTCCATGGCATCAACCTTAGAGTGAAACATGAAACATATATGAAAAGAAACATTCTTTAAATTCTTTAATAACTCATCATCACTATAAAAAAAGAAAAGAAAAGAAAAAACAAAAAATGTAAAATAGCAACGGCATTCATAACCATCTCAAAAACAACTAACACAAACAAATGTGTGTATGTATAATAAGAGAGTGCAAACCAATGAGATATATACATAAAAAGAAAGTGAGAGCCAAATTTACATCTTTTTAAATAAAACGGAAAAGGAAATTACAAAAAATAAAATAAAATGAAAAAAATTCCCGAAAGAAATTTCCTATGAGAACTTAACAATGACATAATCCCTCAGAAATATACTAATCATAACTGAGTACGGGTA